ATAGGATCGGGTAGGGGCCGTTGTTCCAACGGTTTCAGATGTCCTTTCCGGAGTAAGACCTCTAGAGCCTTTGACAAAGGCATATGAAGTGGAGTGAAGACCCTCTTGACTCGAGGTGGATATTTGGTTTTTTGTGAGCTACTTCCGGACGCACCAGTGAATGGGGTGGCCGTTTTTGATGCAGTGGTGGTAACCATGTCTACTTCAGAAGACCTTGCATCTGCGTCACCGCTGGTGGTCGCAATCGAACTGCGGGTAAACGCCCTCCTGGGCTGCTCGATTCGATCGAACCGGGATGATGCCCGACTTCACGAAGTGTGATAGCCTCCACCCGGACTTGGCTCTAGGAGATTCTTGAGTGCAAAATGAAGCCCCGGAAGTCTTCTTTCCGATGGTGGTGGCCCCATAGCTAAACTCCAAGTGTACAGATAGATAAGCCCGATTCAGCGAGGGCTGCTCGACTCGCTTCTACCCGGATTCATGCCGAACTTCTCCCAAACTAGTTTTCTCCTCTCCTTTCCTCTTTTCTTCAACTCCAAAACCCTAAACAAAGTGTTTTGAAAGATTTGCCTCTCTTCTAGCCGAATAAATTGATTCTTTGCCCTGCACATCTCTCAACACCGAGCAAACCATCAGTAGTGCCCAAGTCTTAAGGGCGGTCAAAAATGGGGTGTCTACAGGGTGATGTTGAGTCTCTCAACCATCTACCATCATTTTTCACTTCCACGGTTTCTCTCTCAGTTCCTTGAAGTCCGGGCATTAGGAAAAGGCTACCTCAGAGGCACCAACCAGGCCATCCTTTTTAATTTCATTCTTCTCTGGTTTGGTCTCCATACTCTTGAGCGTGTATGCCACCAGTGAGTGCCCATAAGAAAGGAAAGTTCGAAAACATTAAAAAAAAAAAGGAATTATTGATTGAGGGGGAGCCTCCGCGTTTACTCAACAAATACCCCGTGATTCCTAGTGGTTTGACTTTTCTCTGTGATGGTCCGTTACTATTGTCGGAGGTCCAGCCATCCGATCACTACGAGGATTAACTCTAGCTTTGTGGCTCTAAAGGATTGTGCACACACACTTCTATTTGTGAGCTCTCATGTGTGTTTTTGAGTTATGCATTTTTATGTTGCTTATGGCTTTGATAAAATTCTATCTGTTTTGTTCATGACCTGGTGCTTCAACTTTTTTTCTTACAAGTTTTCAGGACTCATGATAGATGAATTACCTTATCCTAGTGGTATAGTCTTCCAATTGAACTCCCCACTGGTAACAGGACATCTTAGGTGTTTTTTATTGTTTAAAAAAAAAAAAAGGTTTGTCTTGTCCCCGCTCGAGCGGACCTTTATACGCTTGAGTGTGTTTTTGAGCCTTGCAGCATTTTCGTCCTTGCTTTACAGTTTTGTGAGAGGTGTTTTTAAGCTCGAGCGTCCTTCTTAGCGCTCGAGCGTGTATCTGCATGCTTTGTCTCACACTCGAGTGTGAATACTTACGCTCGAGCGAAATGATTTTGTATAAAACTCCCTCCCTCGACTCCTCAGTTCATTTTTTCCCCTCTTTTTTAGTCTCTCCTCCCTAGGGCTTGGCTCGCGACACCTTTGGGCGCGATTTTGCTTTCCTCCTTCCTCTTTCCTCTTCGATTCCCTTTTGGTAAGCATTTCCCTCTCTTTCTCTTGGTTGTTCTCTATTATTTCAATGCTTGTGGAGGACTTTATTTAGGTTTTTTCTGTTTAGCATTTTTTTCCTTTGCCTCACACACTTTCACCGAGTTTTCATTTTCTCTTCATGGTGAGTTTTGGTTGATGGATACATCTTTGATTTTTTTTTGGATTATTAAGTAGTCTGCTGTGTCCATAGTTCTAGGGTTCATGGTTTTCTCGTGTCTCCCTTATATGTTGCTTGGTGTCTTTTGGCTCTGATTTGCATAGTTTTGAATTCTAATTAGTGCTTTATTTTCATCATAATATCATTGTTATTATACTCTGGTTTTGTCATTGATGTTCTGTCTTGAGGCTGTCCTCTATAGTCTAATTAGTGTTTTGTTTTCATCATAACGTCATTCTTATTATACTTTGATTTTGTTATTGATATTATGCCTTACGACTGTTCGTATCATTGTGGTTGCTAGGTTTTGATATGTCTCTAACAATATTACTTTTTTTTGCTGTACTCTGGTGCTTTGTTTTTTTTGGGTTTGTTTTATTTTAGGTCTTAGGTGAGTTTTGATGTCACCATGTCGGCTCCCAAAAGACGCAAGTCTACAGTGTCGCGTCCTGGGTTTAATCCTGATAAGTTTCCCTCTGCCATACAAGCCAAGTTGTTCCATAAGTCTTTTGCGGCTCGAACTGTTCACCTCGAACGTAACGTCCAGCCCAATACCATCGAGACGATTCCCATTCGTCCCTTGTTTGATCCCTTAGGTGGGGACTTGGTCTTGTCTTTCTCAGGTCGTCAAAATCTTGACTGGGTCCGCGAGTTTTTCTGCAACATTGAGAATATCAATGACATTGATCCTTCCTTCACCACCTGGGTTCGGTCTACAGCCATTTCTGTCACTCCCGAGCTTATTAGACGGCTTCTTAGTATTGACCAAGTGTTTCCGGAACATTACCCTTTTCACTACTACAAAAACAGATAAAGATCACACTTTTTTTGTGTGATGTTCGTTATTTAATCACACCTTTTTAATTTTATTAAAGTGTGATCTTTGAGAGTGTGATTAAAAGGGGTCATTTTTAATCACACCTTTTAAGTGTGATTAAAAACGTTTAGATCACACCTTTTAAGTGTGATTGATAACATTTAGATCACACCTTTTAAGTGTGATTAATTACATTTAGATCACACCTTTTAAGTGTGATTAAAAATATTTAGATCACATCTTTTAAGTGTGATTAATAACTAATAAAACATGTGATAATAAACATTTAGATCAAAGATTTTAAGTGTGATTAATATCTAATAAAACACGTGATTAATAATCAGATAAGATCACATGTTATATACATTTGAAGAATGTAATACACACTATATACTATTTTGAATCACAACCATATATTGAATGAAATAACATCATATATTTCATAAATGAAAGTTAAATGTTCAAAAAGTATATACAAAGGAATTAGTAAAAAGTTTTTAACTGTGCTTACATATATTAAAAAATAAAAAATAAAACTTGAAAAAACTAAGTTGTTAAATTCTTTGACCATATTTTGCATTTCTCCAAGAATTTCTGACCTGAAAAATAAAAACACAAATTAATTCAGAAACCGCTAAAAGCATATGAATAAACTTCATATTTTTGTAGAGACTTACAAAAGACGAAATAGAACATTTTCTCATCACACTGACTCTTCATCTCCTGCATCAATGGAAAGGAATAACAACTTTGATTGTTGCTAATATAAAATGTTTGGATTACCATATATAAATATGACATATACATAGAATCAATAAATCCAAAATGAAAATCTTCTATGTATGAACAAATATTTTAAAGTCATAAAACCAAATATACGTAGAATCAACAAATCTAAAATGAAATCTTGAAGTGATTATATATTCTTTACCAACTAAAGAAATTGTTGATTAGTAATTTAAACAACGGAAGTTATATCATACTTACATTGGATTTCAACTCATATTCTTTAGTACGAAATTAATCCATTCAACTCGCACTTCATCAAGTTCGGTTTCCGTGTAAGTCTTTTTTCCATTGAACTGCAAGAGGTTTTTCCCATACATGTATATATATATATATATATACATTAGCACATAACTAACCTAACAATATATTTACAAACAATTAGGATGTAATCAATTCTGGAGACTCCAGAAGAGGAATAATTTTTTGAATTTTCTACCATTGCTCCAATTGTTTCCTAAAAGCTGTCAAGAAGCAGAACAAATTTATGTATATAAACCCAAGGTTTTACCTTTATTTTCTTTAGATATTCAAAGCAACCAAAAAGGTCATATGATTTAATTGAATTTCAGTAGTCTTTTTAACAAAGAAGAAATACAAACCAGAATGAAGAGAAATGAAGTCTACAGTCCTTTGGTAATACATCGAATAAACACTGCAATGGAAAAACACTCAGAATTATTTAAAAATAAATAAATACTAAATTACGAAAACCAACATAATACAAAATCTTGGTTAGGGTTTGTGATTTTGGACTTCTAGAACTATCTCAATGGTCAATGACATATACATAGAATCAATAAATCTAAAATAAAAATCTTAAATGCATGGCCAGATATTTTAAAGTCATAAAACCAAATATACATAGATATGACATATAGTCATCACACTAAAATATAGAACAGGAAAAAATCATCAACACTACAAACTAAAACAAGAAAAGCATCCACTTTCTCTAACATGTATAACCAGCCACTTGCATAAAAATGAAGAACATTGTGAACCTAAAAGGAAATGAACAATCAATAATTTTCAATTCAAACAATGTCAATGACTTAATTTAACAAATGAGACAAAAAGAGTGCCATTCAACAAAAGTTGAAGCAAGGATTTACAAAATAGCAGCAGAATAGAGCCTTCATAGTCAGGTTGGTGGCAAAACCCAAAAAGGAGAAGACCTAAACTAATGATAATAATAAGTCATATCATACACCCACAATATTAATCTTTCAGCCAGTTGCTTGAGAGAATGAATATATAGAATAAATGAAATTCAGTAATAATGATGCTGAACCTTATTAAGGCCTATATGGGCATCATTATTGTGTTTAAATTTCAGTACTGTGTTCGGAACCACTAATATGATGCAGATTCTATTTGCTGTCTTCCCATCCAATATAGAACCCAAATTATATTTTGTTTGTGCATTACGGGATAGGATCCACATATTCATGTGCAAACCAATTCTCAGTTGACAAGAAAGGGCCATTATAAAATCAGAAACATCGCACATACTAATCTCAGTGCTAGCTTTTGCTGAAGAAGGATATAAGACAGTGCATTTTTTGTTCCAGTGCTTTGGGAGTTCTAAAGCCAAAACCTTAGTGGTTGCTGAAGAAAAATTCAAAAATTAAATTAAATTTTACCAAGTAGTTGTGAGATTCCAAGTGAACAAGGGTTGAAAAGCAAAACGCCATGTTTAACAGAAGGTATGCAAAGAATATTTTAGATGATTGAGACAGGAAAGAAAAACATAAACTAAATATATTTTGGCAAGTTATTCCCCACAATCAAGCTTCATATGATGTAGCGATTAAGTATTCAACATTAAAAGGTTTCTCTGTTTTCAAAATTAGCTCTATTGGTTTTCTTACGAGGTAGATCAGAAAAAGTGTGACGAGAATTTTTCAAGAATGAAGGTGAACTAGTGACAGAATATCTAGAAATATGTTATAAGATTGGAATTCTGCAGAAAATTGTGTTACTCAAAGAACCATAAGCATGTATCAAATGAGCTGAAGGGAAAAAAATATAAGGAAAAAAGAAAAGGATTAAGAAGGTTTTTAACTAAAATAACAAAACTAAATAATGTTTGACATTGCTAATAAAAATTAAAATATACCAAATAAATGAGTCAACAAAGAAGCTTCAAGTCAATTGATAATAAAAACAAGGAAATTCTATCATATAAAAAAAAAAAACCTTCTTAATCCTTTTCTTAAAAACAAGGAAATTCTATCATAGTCAAAATAAATAAATAAAGAAAAAAAAAATCCAGTTTCGATCATTCATGTTGACAATGCAATGATTGCTGATGTGCATCATATATTTGTTATAGAAGAAACCTCCCCGAATGTAGCAAGGCCACACACCATTTCAAGCATTAGAATGCACTAAATGAGTATGTGTGTGATGAGAACCATCAATTTGATCCATTAATGTATATTAACTACAATGACATGATCTGAGAATTGACCAAAAATATGCAAAGAAGTATTTCTTACCTGGGCAGATGAATGACTCATATTACCCAACAGATTCAATTACCTGGATGCACAACCCAAGCAATGGAGAAATCTCTTTCTTAAGGTTATCTCGAATCATTCCATAAATCTTTTCTACAAATACTGTACGTTGTTGCTTGAAAAGTAAAGCTGGGTATTTGGCTTCAACTTGGTGTAAAGCTTCTGCTCCACCAATCAGGCCACCATTTACAAAGGAAAGATTAACTCCTTGCGGAGTTCCTCGGAAACTCTGTAAATAAAAATAATAGCAAACACCTAAACTAACGAAAGGACTAAAACTTCGTTTGATGACAGAACATGGAAATTCAAATGGGAACTTTAAATTACCTGTGTCATCCTTCTAAACAGAGTAGCCGAGGATAATCGACGGCGCCCATTCCAGCGGCACCACTTGCTTTCAATGTACGCTGTAGCAGCAGCAGAAGAGACGAGGAATTGGACAACCAATAGGCTAAGATGTCATTGTTATCCTGGGTCTTTAATCCAAATAATAATATTTAGTTATGAGAAGCCAATTATGACAAAAAGGGAAAACAAGACACACTAGTAGCATATAGGATTAGATTATTCAAACCTCGATAGCATGGCCTATGGTCCGAATGATTCGGTCAAACACACTAGTCCGCTCAACTTCAAAAGATCTCCACTGTAGAAGGCATTTGTAGATGATACTAGCAGCAATTGGTCTGTTCCCTGCGAAGCCTAGGTGTTGTCCAATACATCGGATAAGAAGCTCTTGATTCTCTTGCTGTTTCTCATTAAGAGATTTTTGTGGTTTGTCCTCTACTTCTGAAAGACCCTTTGGTTTAATGAAGGGCTATGCAGATCCTAAGGCATTTTTAACAGTAATCAACAAAAATGCATGTTTAACAAAAGGATTGATGAAAACATGAAAATTTCATAAAACATTAAAATTTACCTAAGTTGTCTTTGTATCCACAAACAAATGACCACTCTCACCACCTCTCTGCCAATAGATGAAAACATGAAAATTTCATAAAACATTAAAATTTACCTAAGTTGTCTTTGTATCCACAAACAAATGACCACTCTCACCACCTCTCTGCCAATAGATGAAAACATGAAAATTTCATAAAACATTAAAATTTACCTAAGTTGTCTTTGTATCCACAAACAAATGACCACTCTCACCACCTCTCTGCCAATAGATGAAAACATGAAAATTTCATAAAACATTAAAATTTACCTAAGTTGTCTTTGTATCCACAAACAAATGACCACTCTCACCACCTCTCTGCCAATAGATGAAAACATGAAAATTTCATAAAACATTAAAATTTACCTAAGTTGTCTTTGTATCCACAAACAAATGACCACTCTCACCACCTCTCTGCCAATAGATGAAAACATGAAAATTTCATAAAACATTAAAATTTACCTAAGTTGTCTTTGTATCCACAAACAAATGACCACTCTCACCACCTCTCTGCCAATAGATGAAAACATGAAAATTTCATAAAACATTAAAATTTACCTAAGTTGTCTTTGTATCCACAAACAAATGACCACTCTCACCACCTCTCTGCCAATAGATGACAAGAAATTCACTTTGCTGACAATAACTAACGATCAAATACAACAACAGGATTAGGTTGTTTGGTGAAACGTCAATTTAAAACTGCTAAAGAAGACTGGACTGTTGCTCTTTACATGCTTTCATGAATCTTATGAGAAGGAAGGCAATATTGGGATGTAAAATAAATTGAGATCCAACAGAATGAATAGAAGATAAATAGTTGTACACAATGATTAATGACATGCTGTTGGGAACAAACAAAATAAATTAGTGTTCTCAAAGAAACCAACACAGAGATCAACGAACGGTTTCCTCAAATTTGAAATTCATGCTCACTGAGGGAATAGTGCATGACTAACCAGACTTCAGTGTATGGAGCTAAAACCCACACAATATGAAATACAAAAGCAAGAGAGGAGAGCATCTTAGGACAATGTTGGAAGCGGGAGTTCATGTGAATCAACAATGGAAAGGTTACTCGAACAAAGGATTAAGCTACTTAGTTTTGGTTACCAATCCATGATGATGGTTGTGCAGGATACAATAGTAATTATTCCTTTCAAGCAAATGATTTCCATATAATGACAGGCGCCATTTCCCACTTAATACATCATTCTATTGGCCCCAAAGAAAAAAAACTAGCAGCCATCATTTGTGTGTTTTGCGGTTGGTGCACATGAGATAATAATCAGAAAGTTAAAAGTGGAAAAAATTGATAATAATACTCAAATTTAAATAGTGGACCATGTACTAACATATAATATAATCACATTGCACAACCAAAAGGACAGGATTGCTTCCATTGACAATGCACACAGCAAAAACAAAAAAAGAAAGAAAAAGGTAAATAATCCCACTGTTATGTATCATGTATAATAGATGTTTTTAACAACTTAAAAGTTTGACATTTACACTATATCTTGTATGACTCAAGGAACCTAAAAACCAAAAAAAAAAAAACCTCACAAAACAATTGAGTTCCTATGAACCCAAAAGCCAACACACTACGTAGCAGCACTAAAAACACTAATGGTGGTTAGAAACATAGGTTGAGATTGAAAAAAAAAATGTAAGAAAGTAATGACCAACGCTTCTGCTCCCACTCCTACAATAGCATATTTTTTTCTTCTTTTTTTTTCTCAATTGAATCAGGCCATGGCTGCGCAACAATGGCAGGACAGTGAGGGATAAGGGCAATTTTGTAAGACTGTGAAAAACACATTGATTCAAATAACACAGTGTGAAAAACACATTGATTTAGATCCTCTTCGATTAATTGATCGATTCCCATATGCCTATTAACCAACTCAATACTGTAAACAAAAGAAAACCTAAAGAAACTAACAAGAATTTCTGGTAATTTCAGTTTTAAAAAAAAAAAGAAAAATAGAATTTTCAATCATAGATTTTCTGCTAATTTATCATTAAAAAAAAATTCCTCAAGGGCTGAGTTTTTCTGGTCTCATAGATTGATATCAGATTCCTCCTACAATTTCTTCGCTTCATCTTGTAACTATTCTCGCTATGTAAGTAGAGAAACTAACCAAATAAAATAGAGTGAATGTGTGTGTGTGTGTGTGTGTGTGTGTGTGTGTGTGTGTGTGTGAGAGAGAGAGAGAGAGAGAGAGAAAAGGGCGGGGGAATCCGGACATACCTCAAGAACGAAACCCTTCCACTTCGAGCCGTCGACCGTTGCCGTCGCCGAACCAGTCTCACCGTTGGAGGGAGCGCACCGTTCCAGATCGAAATCTGATGCCGCTGAACCAATCTCCCTTTCGAACCCTTCTTTCTTCTCCCTCTCTTCTATTATTTGATTTACATCTTTCACGTTCCTTTAGAACCCACTTAGGAGCCAAACAGTTTGTATTTTGATATAAAAAAAAATTATGGCGCTTAATTTTCGCTTAATTTTTTGGGTGGCGCCAGATCCTATTTTACTTTGGTGCTTAATTTTTTTTTTGGATCACACCATTTACGACATAAATTGAACACCGTGAAAAATAAAATATGTTTAACGATTGACGTATGCGTATCGTGTATAATTGATATATTTACGGCATGCCAAATGTATGTCATAAAAAGTTTTATTATTTACGGCTAACATTGTAAGCCGTAAAAAAATCATTGTTATTAACATTCATGACATACGCAATAGACAGGTCTTGGTTGGGAAATTATTTACAACATGCAAAAAAAACAAGTCGTACAAATGAGAAATCACGGCTTGCATTTACTGTATGTCATTGATATGAAGCCGTAAAAACCCAATTTTGTTGTAGTGTAATAAGCACAATAACTTGCGGCCTAAATTAATGATTGATCAATCTTATGTAAATAGGTTGCTCGTCATCAAAAGGACCCAACTCCTGAACATCTATAATTCATCTATTATCATAAAAACTTCGAATTAAAATATGATTTTTATAAGACCATGAGAAGAGACTGATGCGCGTCTAATGTGTATATAAATTTGATATAATTAGTAACATAAATCCAGTGTTGGAAGGCCAATTTCTGTGCTTCAAACTTTGCTTAGGCCACCACCTTTGACTGCTTGTTTGTTTTCTTTCTAGATTCAAATAAAGTGCGCAACTAGATTGGAGGAGACATCTTTTAATTATTAATGGAATTGGCTGGGGCCTTCTATACCAGCATGAGGATTCCCATCTGAGAATAATTCATAGAGATCTTAAAGCTAGCAACATTTTGCTGAATCATGAGATGAATCCCAAGATATCAGACTTTTGGAATGGCTAGAATTTTTAGGGGAAATTAAAGTGAAGCGAACACAAATAGAGTAGTTGGAGCATAGTAACCCTCTTCTTTTTTTATACACACGTATACATACATAATCAATCATTTTATTTTGTCTGATCACTCTATTGTGATGCTTTTATTTGTAGTAGTGGATACATGGCTCATATATACATCCATATTATAAAAAAAAAAAAATCAAAACCCCCAACCAGAAATCGTTGAATGGAAATCCAAATAGTTTAATCAAATGCCCTAATTTAAGAAGGGAAGGGTTTCAGAAAAGAAGAGAAACAAACTCTAGGTTTAGAACCGAAACAAACTCTAGGTTTAGAACCTTACCAAAAGTGCAGGTCTTTCCTAAGCCAATGAGTTTCGAAAGGTTGTAAGGGAAATGAAGAGCACCATCTATAGCGAAGAGGGTTGGTGTCTATTGGGGAAGAGGATCCAAATTCGGGGAAGAGGAGGAGACACAAAGGTTGTGCTGATGAGGTGTTTATCGTTCTAAGAGAGAGAGAGAGACAAAGACAGAGACAGAGCGTGAATCACAAAACAGAGAAGAAGAAAAGAAGAAACTGTTGCGCGTGTTTGATGGGTGGGAACTCTCTAATGTGTAAAATGATCTCAGCCGTTTATTTGTTGTTTGGAAAGATCTGTGGACCATTCTAATCAATTATAAAGGATATATATTTTCATATAAAGGATAAATTATAAACGATATATATTTCCTTTTGATTAGAAGTAGTCAAAGAGTTAAATGTATTTTGACTTTTTTTTTTTTAATTTATGTTTTGGTGTTGGGGCCTTCTTTTTAAAAATAAATTGGAAATTGTATATTTTATATAAAAATCAAATTGAAATATTTTATACAAACACACCTATTTAGGGAGTGTGATTAAATATATATATATATATAATCACACTTATTTAAAAAATGTAATTAAAAAGTAGTAATGTATATATAATCACACTTTAATTAGAAGGTGTGATTAAAAAAACATATATATAATCACACTTAATTGAAAAGTGACATAAAAAATAAATATTATCACACTTAATCAAATTAAGTGTGATTAAAATATCAATCTAACTTTTTTTATCACGCTTTCAATAAAAGTGAGATATTTTTTTTTGTCAAAGTGTGATCTTTTACTATTTTTGTAGTAGTGTTTCTAGTTCGTCCTACATGTGATTTTGATGTTGTGGTCAAGGTGTTGTGTGGTGCTCCACGTAATTGGATTAAGGGCACTTTGATTAAACAGTTTGAACTCCTTCCGGAGTTTCGACTGCTTAATCTTATAGTGTGTGCTAATATTATTGTCACCACTCACTCGTCAGAAATCAATCAAGAACAGGGGTTTGTGTTGTTTTGTATTGCTCATCACATGTCCATTGATCTTGCCACCCTCATTATTCGAAAAATGATTGCTGTCTTTGGTAATAAGTAACTGGGTCTCCCTTATGGTTGTTTAATCAACCGTCTCCTATCCCAGCTTGAGGTTCCAGTTGTAGAGGATGATGAGTTTACCTTTCCATCTCGACCCTTCACTAAAAAGACTGTTTCCTAGAGTCATGCCCACGTTAAGGGGGAGTTTTCTAGGGTTGGTACTTCTGCAGGTACTGCTGCTGGACTTGCCGAGGAGGCTGAGTTTGATGCTGCCACAGCTGGTGGTGAGGAGGATGTTGTTCCACCCCGAACTGTTCATGACCAG